CATAACTGACCTACTTTCTGCATCTCCGACATTTTTTTAAATAAAATTGTTTTAATGACCTGTAAAATGTGATTATCTTGATCTTGTTGACAATTTATGGCAAAATATTGCATCCCTTTTTGATATTCCTTGCATGACTGTCTGCTGCATCCCCTTTTTACCACCATTCATGGATGTTCCCCAGTCAAAACTCAATGCTTATCAATGGCACCTGTGTGGTGCACGATAAGTCACGTGATGTCCAATCCAGTAATCCAGTATTTTAYTTCAACAGGAAGTTGAAATGTCGATGCAGGAGCCTCAGGGTGCTCACTTGTTTTGTGGGGGGTTTATGTTCAGCTCCTCACTCAGCCTCAGAGCTTTGAAGGAAATAAAGATCTGAGCTGGTCTCCTCAGAACAAGTGGTCTGAGTAAAGGAGGCTACTGCAGATTGTTTGTTGTTTACACACACATATACATGGGTTGGACAATGAAAGTTAAACAGCTGTCATGTTAGTGTGGGAGGTTTCATGGTTAAACTGGACCAGCCTGGTGGTCAGTCTTMATTAACTGCACATTGCACCAGTAAGAGCAGAGTGTGAAGGGTCAATTAGCAGGGTAAGAGCACAGTTTGGATCTAAATATAGGTCAAAAGAGGACAAATAGTTGGTGCACGTCTTGCTGGAGCAACTGTGACCAAGACAGGAAGTGTTTGTGATGTATGAAGAGCCACAGTATCCAGGGTAATGTCAGCAGACCACCAAGAAGGACCAACCACATCCAACAGGATTAACTGTGGACGCAACAGGAAGCTGTCTGAAAGGATGTTCAGGTGATAACCTGGATTGTATCAAACATACATAAAACCACAGCAGAATTAAATGTCACCTCCACTCTCCTGTTTCCACCAGAACTGTCCATCAGGACCTCCACAGGGTCAATATACACGGCCGGGCTGCTGTAACCAAACCTTTGGTCACTGTGCCAAACATTGGTTTCAGTGGTGCAAGGATCACAAATCGGTGAAACATGATGTTCTCTGATGAGTYCACCTTTACTGKAGAGTTACWGTGTGGAGAAGACCCAAAGAAGTGTACCACCCAGACTGTTGCATGTCCAGAGTGAAGCATGGGGGTGGATCAGTGATGGTTTGGGCTGCTGTATCATCATTCCCTTGGCCCAATACTTGTGCTAGATGGGTGTGTCACTGCCAAGGACTACCGAACCACTCTGGAGGACCATGTTCATCCAGTGGTTCAAACACTGTATCCTGAAGGTGGTGCTGTGTATCAGGATGACAACAGTACACACATCAAGACTGGTGAAAGGTTGGTTTGATGAACATGAAAGTGAAGTTGAACATCTCCCATGGCCTGCACAGTCACCACATCTGAAGATTATTGAGACACTTTGGGTGTTTTGGAGGAGCGAGTCAGGAAACGTTTTCCTCCACCAGCATCATGTAGTGACCTGGACACTGTCCTGCAGGAAGAATGGTTCAAATCTGACCACTGAGCAGGACCTGGATATGTCATTCCCAAGATGAGTTGATGCTGTGTTGGAGGTCCTACACCATACTGATAATGACTGTGGTCTAAAACCAGCTGTTTCATTGTCCAACCCTGTACCTGAACCATTATCAGTAAACTGTTTAATGTTGGAGGAGGCTGTGCTTGTTGTATCGGTTCATCCAACCGGGGGGTTGACTAAGAGTGTAGGGACTCTCTCCGCAGAATAAAACCGTGGCCACGCCCAATCAGGGCGTGTGGGACATGAGAGGGAAGCAGTTCTACGCCGGCATCGAGATCAAAGTGTGGGCCGTGGCCTGCTTCGCCCCCCAGAAACAGTGTCGGGAGGATCTGCTGAAGTGAGTCCTGCTAAGTGTTGTCTGGTTCCTCTCAGCGGCCGAGGCACTGCGAGTAGTTTTACTGCTCCTCACCCTTCAGAGGAGGCGTGTCATGACTCTGCTGCTTCCTACAGGAGCTTCACAGACCAGCTGAGGAAGATCTCTAAGGATGCTGGGATGCCCATCCAGGGCCAGCCCTGTTTCTGTAAATACGCCCAGGGGGCCGACAGCGTGGAGCCCATGTTCAAACACCTGAAGATGTCCTACGTGGGTCTGCAGCTGATCGTGGTCATCCTGCCTGGAAAAACACCTGTCTATGGTAGGAGACAGTGAGGGGCGGGGCATAAAACACCAGTCTATGGTAGGGGGCGGGGCATAAAACACCAGTCTATGGTAGGGGGCGGGGCATAAAACACCAGTCTATGGTAGGAGACAGTGAGGGGCGGGGCATAAAACACCAGTCTATGGTAGGAGACAGTGAGGGGCGGGGCATAAAACACCAGTCTATGGTAGGAGACAGTGAGGGGGCGGGGCATAAAACACCAGTCTATGGTAGGAGACAGTGAGGGGGCGGGGCATAAAACACTAGTCTATGGTAGGAGACAGTGAGGGGGCGGGGCAAAAAACACCAGTCTATGGTAGGAGACAGCGTTTCCTGAGGGGGCGGGGCATAAAACACCAGTCTATAGTAGGAGACAGCGTTTCCTTCCTGAGTGGGCGGGGCATAAAACCCCAGTCTATGGTAGGAGACAGCGTTTCCTTCCTGAGGGGGCGGGGCCTGCTCTTCATGTGTGCTGTGTGTTCTGCAGCGGAGGTGAAGCGGGTCGGGGACACCCTCCTGGGCATGGCCACGCAGTGCGTCCAGGTGAAGAACGTGGTGAAGACATCCCCTCAGACTCTGTCCAACCTCTGCCTGAAGATCAACGCCAAGCTGGGGGGCATCAACAACGTCCTGGTGCCTCACCAGAGGTCAGTGAGACATCTGCGGCCTGAGCAGGAGGACACCAGGACAAACTATGACTCTGTCTCTGCTCTTCGTCCAGGCCCTCTGTCTTCCAGCAGCCCGTCATCTTCCTCGGCGCCGACGTCACTCATCCTCCTGCAGGCGATGGCAAGAAGCCCTCCATCGCTGCCGTGGTGGGCAGCATGGACGGACACCCCAGCCGCTACTGTGCCACGGTGCGGGTCCAAACGTCTCGACAGGACATGTCCCAGGTGGGTTCAGGAGGACCGGGTCAAAGAAGCCCTGTGGTCCTGTTGTTGACACCCTGTCCCTCTCTGCAGGAGCAGCTGTTCAGCCAGGAGGTGATCCAGGACCTGACCAACATGGTGCGGGAGCTGCTCATCCAGTTCTACAAGTCCACCCGCTTCAAACCCACACGCATCATCTATTACCGCGGGGGCGTGTCCGAGGGACAGATGAAGCAGGTAGGTGGCTCCGCCCAGTCCTCACAGTGTGGTCCTCGGTCCTCTGTCCTCAGCAGGACCTCCTGTCTGCTGCAGGTGGCGTGGCCGGAGCTGATCGCCATCAGGAAGGCCTGCATCAGTCTGGAGGAGGACTACAGGCCGGGCATCACCTACATCGTGGTCCAGAAGCGTCACCACACCCGTCTGTTCTGCTCAGACAAAGCTGAGAGGGTGGGTTTGAGTCTCTGGTCCTGCTGGATCTTCTGGTCCTGCAGGTCCTGCCTCACTGTCCTCTGATTGGTCCACAGGTGGGGAAGAGCGGGAACGTTCCAGCTGGCACCACGGTGGACAGCACCATCACTCACCCGTCAGAGTTTGACTTCTACCTGTGCAGCCACGCTGGGATCCAGGTGAGGCCAGCAGGAGCAGCAGGTGTGTGTGTGTCAGTGGTGATGTGTGTGTGATGTCACATGTCTCCGCCCCCTGCAGGGCACCAGTCGTCCGTCCCACTACCAYGTCCTGTGGGACGACAACTGTTTCACAGCCGACGAGCTGCAGCTGCTCACCTACCAGCTGTGCCACACCTACGTGCGCTGCACGCGCTCCGTCTCCATCCCCGCCCCCGCCTACTACGCCCGGCTGGTGGCGTTCCGCGCTCGCTACCACCTGGTGGACAAGGACCACGACAGGTGAGCCGGTCCCGGGACCGCAGGGTCAGACCAGGGTGCTGTGAGTCAGAACTGGTCCTGATGCTGTGTCTTCCTGTCCCTGCAGCGCTGAGGGCAGCCACGTGTCGGGTCAGAGTAACGGGCGGGACCCCCAGGCGCTGGCCAAGGCGGTCCAGATCCACTACGACACCCAGCACACCATGTACTTCGCCTGAGCCGGGTCAGCACCGGGCCAGCCGGGCCTCCTGTGGATTTATCACTTCTCTCATCCTTCCCTCGTCTCCTCCTCCTCCTCATCCTCACTCTGTTTCCTACCTGTGCACCAAAGCGGCCCACCTGCTGACGTCCTGCAGGTTCAGGGAACCAGGTCCCAGCAGGGTCCTGGTCCGGCCGCCTTCTTAACCAGCAAGCGAAGCACTGCGAGCCCCGAGGGCTGCGATGCACAGCAGACAAAACAAAARCAAACAAGGAGACGTGGAGCCATGTTTGTTTGTGTTTTCTCTGAACGGTCTGCACTCATGTTTGTAAAAAAACAAAAACTAAACAAAAAAAACAACCTCAGGCTGGAGCCGAGGAGCCTCGTCCAGCTCAGCAGGACTCTGATCTACTTTACCTCAAAGCCCCTCGGGGCCAAACCTGTCACAAGCTCTGGGTTGGGTGGGTG